GCATTTTGAACAAGAACATTCAATTCCTGCAAGCAAGAGCTTAAACCAACTTTGTGAACACACTTCATACTCCCTAACTACCCTGAAACACGACCAAACCATCTCTCAAACCTCCATATACAGAAAAACACAGTTTTGTGGCAAAACAGGGCATAGGCTGCAACTTGAATCCCACAGTCCATTCCTGTCGTGCGTTTTGGCTGAAACCTCTTCAAACACATTCCCTACCATCCATTGAAGCTATTCCAAGCATTGAACTAGAACTGTAACATCCATAACCAAGGTTGCCATTTTCATTTTTCATCTGTGGAGGTTGACTTCTATAGCTCGATTCAGTAAGATTCAAAGCAAGCCAAGCATAGAAGAAGCATCCTTGGACCTCAGGCAAGCTGTACAAATCCTCAAATTCCATTGAAAGTGCCTCCATTGTTGTACACGATTCAAGCTGAACAGGTAAAAGTTTGAACTTCTATCTCTCTATCCAAGCATATCTAGGCTTAGGTTTGTGAAGAAGTTATGTCCTACTCATGGCCCTGAAGCTACCCATATCATTACTTTTCATTTATGTTGTGTGTACTGAGAGAATTTTGAACCTGAATATTGAACAAAAGTTAGGTCAGGAATTGGGGGAGAAGAAATTCTCTCTCATTTCTGAGAGTTAGATCAAGTTCTTTATATGTATGAATTCGTGGTTTGATGCTCTACATTTTTGGTGTTATAAGTTTGTGCTAAAAATCAAAGAATCAGGATGTTTGAATCAAGCATGAGAAGCGCGCGTTTTTGAGACATAAGTGGCTGGAGGTTGAAGAAGCTTGCCTTGGGCTGGGCCTGACTTGTTTTTTCTATTTGCACCACATTTTTTTCACTTACACCCCCTTGGCCCATTGTGTGTTATTTTTATCATTTTTGATTTTTTCTTTTTGTTTCTGACTTATTATTTTTTGTCAAAATATAAAAAATATTAAAAATATTTTTTCAACCATTTTTGCATTTTATTTGTATTTTATTTGTTTTATTTGAATTTATACATTATAAATAAACATAATACCTTTTACTTAAAATACTAAAAAATAACACAAAATATATTTTATTTTCTGATTTTATTTTATTTTATCTTTTGAAAACATTTTCTTAAAATACACTTTTTTGATAAATAATAAATATTTTATTTGTATATATTTAGCATAGTTAATATATAATATAAATACTTATATATTTATTAGAATATTTAGGATAAAAACATAAAAATAATACCATTTTTATTTTTATTAATATTTAACCTTAAAAATTACTTTTTTACAAATATACTTCTCTTTTATTTATTTTTGTGTATAATTAATAAATATTGTATATAATAAATAATAAATACTCTTTATTTAGAAAATTAGGGTTTTGCCCTAAAATGTGAAAATGTCCAAAATTAACTTTCTTTATTTTTTATAGTTCACATGAAAAATACCTTTACATACATAGAAAACCATTTTTGTGCATTTTTGCATATTTATTATATTTATTTAATTATTGTACAATTAAATAACTTGTATATTCGATTTGGATGTAATAGTTTAGATTTAAATTTCTCGCTAAATATCCCCATTTGAACATTTGTACCCCCATCCCCATGATTATTTTGTAATAATTTAGGACTTTAAATTCCGCATTTTAAAGCTTTCTAATTATACCATGATAGACTTAGGGTTTTGTATGCAAATCAAAAAATGACAAATAGCTTGACCTAATTCAAAGACAAAAAAGCATGAAAATGGACAAGACCAATCACACTTGCACCCCTAGGGTTACTCCACTTGTTGCCTTCAATAATGGGCCATGTTGCATGTTGGGTGTTTTTGGCAAAAACAAAACAATTCAAATGATCATAGTCCCTCGATGATGCTTTCGAAAGTTGCCTAAAAATGATCAAGTCCCTTGAAGGAAAATTGCCAAAGACACTTGGCACCATTGCAATCATGGTCTAAACGATGACCCGCGCCTGTCCCGTTAACATCCTAACACAAGATTGTCCACCAAATACAATGGTGGAACAATACTGTTAAAAGGGTTAAAACATAGGAAAGATCTTTGAGAAATTTAGGGTAGATAGCTCTTGGTTACTTGACCAACCTTGCAAAACAATCCTTGCCATTTTTCAAAACACACATCACAACACACTTTCAAAACAACTTTCAAAAACATTGAAAACTTTTCAAAAGACAAATACACCTTTGTATACATTCAAACATGAATCATTACAAAGGTTGCCACAACAATGGCCTCTTTTCAAAACATTTTCAAACCCACACACAAAGCACCATTTCAAACAATTGAAAGCACCATTTCAAACAATTGAAAATGCAAGGCAAGTGATCTAAGCAAGTAACTAAGAGCCCATGGATAACCATGGATAGAAAGGGTGCTAATACCTTCCCTTTCTATAATCTACCCCCGAACCCAAGAAAACATCTCAAAAGTTTTTGCTGTGCTTTTTAACCTTTCCTTAGGATAAAATAAAAAGTCGGTGGCGACTCTTGCTCAACCGAAACATTTGCGAAAACAAACGCAAAACCCAAGTCAGTTCTCCCACCGTATCACACAAGGAAATAGAAATAATTGCAAAAAGTAGTAATTTTATTCTGGGAGAATTTCTTCGACCCTCATCCCTTTGCACTACCACATATATATAGGAGAAAATATAGCAGTTGAAAGAATCTTGGGAAAAGACTTGAGTGGAGGAAATATAGGATGCATGGTTACTGAGTGGAGGGAATATAGGAGAACACTTATGCCCTCACGTTGCCCACGTCTCCACTAATTCACAACGTTCATCTTTACGCGCGTGACGGTCGTCACAGGTGGGTGACGGTCGTAATGCGCTTGAATAGCGCATTACGCTCGTCAATGATGTGTGACGAGCGTTCTTCTAGTTGGGGATGCGTTACGGTCGTCACAGGGTGTGGCGGTCGTCACTGCTTCTAAATCTCCAAACTTTGCAGATTTGGTTCTTTTCTCTTCTGTTTATTGTCTAGCTTCCTTCATGTAGTCCTTTTTCATTGGTTTGAGTTGACAAATATTGTACCTGTGAAAAGACACAAAAACTCGAGATAATCGGGAGTTAGACGACTCAATGTATTATAAAATCCGTAAAAAACGTAGTAATTATATGATACGGTTTCTCGTTATCAAACAATAAATTAAAGATAATTCAAACGTATTATAAATTTTTTTTTGACAAATAAACTTATTAGTTGTAGCCAAATAATTTGTAATATTCTTGAAGAAGCCAAATGGTTGGACACACAAACAGTGGCGTCTCACGTAACTTTTGGATTGATGGAACACAACATAGCGAAATGAAAATATTATTTTATTGTTTAAGTTGGTAAAAAGAGGATGAAGAAAGTGTATGTCCCTGGGAGGAAGAAATTGATAGATTGGAAATTAGGAGATAATGCCAACTAAATTAGGAGAACTAAAGAAGTCGGTATTGTGCTTATTACTTCATAATTCATATCATTATATCATATAATTTTTAAGATTAATTGTCATGTACCGTCAATATAAAAAGTTTTGCGTTATCACAATAACTTATAAATATTATTTTATTATTAATTAAAATAAAAATCAAATCTAACAATGTAAATTTTTTTACATTATAAATGCATTCTAATTAAATTTATAATTTTAAAAATTTTTCCATCAAAATATTTATAATTTAAAAAATATTAAAATAATTAGAATTGTTTTAGTAAAAAAATATAATGCAAAAGTCTTATATAAAAGACAAATAATATTTGAAAAAATCTAATCTAATACTTATAAATGATAATACTACAAAATTTAATAGATATATTATCACTAATTTGTTTGATATATCTGACTTTTATTTTAATTTATTTTAAACATAATATATTTAAATAATTATGATATGTTGATAATGTAATTTTTTATATTAATGATACATAATAGTTAAGCTTATTTTATATTTAATATAATTATAGAAAAATAATATAAGTATTTAATTTTTAAAATTAAAAAACAGATGCAACTTTGACTAAAATATTGGATACAATTTATAAAAAAGAATGCAACTTTGATTCCATATTAAAAATAAGACAAAATTTAGGTATAATTATTTAAATATAGTTTTTATTAATTTTCAATAAAAATATAAAAATATATAATTTTTTTACATATATACAAATTGTTCTTATTTTTACTCTTTAAATAATATTTAAGTATATTTATTATATTTTTATTAAAAAAAAAACACTTTTAAAATTGTATCTAATGTTTCTTAAAAAAATATTAGAAGTTATTATCTTTTAAAGGAATCACAAATATTTTAAAGAATTTGTCTCTACTGCTTTGTGTCCGAAATATATTAGTTTGAAAAAGGAAAAAAATATATTTTGGTAGAAAAAACTTCATAAAATACTAAACAAACTAGATACATAGAGGGATTGGGAGACGGGATCTGCTAGAATCACTGCATGCGCCATAAGCCTTTTTGACCGTTGATATTACACTGTCAATTTTCCACGGTTAACCAATTTAAGCTGTCGACAGTCGACACAGATGAAACATGTGAAGACCCAAACCTGAGCCAGGCGAACAACAACGTAAACAAACATCAGCCGTTGTTGGCTGGTTATTTATCAGTGTCGTAAAAAACATGATTGAATATAGCTAAAATCCTAATCCTGCTACGTGCCTCAACCTCAATCACCATTTCATATATTCTCTCCTCAATCCCAAACGCAATTCTACAATTGTTCACTTACCACTCCGTTGCGTCCTCTTCCTAAGTCTTTGTCTCCTTCATCTACTTTTCATGTAAACAAACATTAATCATGCATGTTTAGTTTCACTCTTCTTACATAGATATAGAAGAGTCATTCTAAAAAGATTCTATTTATTTGGACAACAATTTTTTTTTTTTTTGTATAAGAACATGTTCATTGCTTCATACCAACACCAACACCAACATTACTCATTTTCTTTCCATGTCGTCCCTGGAAGTTTCCTCTTCTCCAAAAAAATGGATGAGAAATTGTATTATAGTTCTCAACTCATTCATATGTTACGTTGTGTTCCTCTTCTTTGATTTTCTAGATGCTCTCTTATGCGTTATCTATAGATACCTCGATGAGCGCATTGAAGGGGTGGCATCTCCTTGTTGTTGCTCTAAATGGGAGAGACAGAACAAGATTATAATGAAAGATGAAGATGATGGTCTTTCAGATAGTTTGTATCAGAGGAAGAACGTGTTTAGAGAAATGGGTTTGCTTCAATTTGGGAGAAAAAAGGAATATTCTAATGGAAAATGCGGTGGAATGAAAGTGAGTAGTTGGTCTGATTGTGGGTGTGAGTCTTGTCTTTCATGGATGAATGGTGATGATGATGACTATAAACTTCACTTTGTTGTTAAGGAACCCTTAATAGGTATAGTAATCTCTGTAACACCGAAACTTTTGAAAATATGTGTGTTAGTGTCTGAAACCGATACCAACATTTGTGACTAATTTATTCTTTTTCAAATTATTATTGGCGTCAATGTGTCAGTATCGTTGTCGTGTTTTCGGTGTCTGTGCCTCATAAGTAGTAATTGTATTAGGGTATGTTTAGATTCACCTATTTGTGACCCTTTTATGTACTCTTATGCGTAGCTAATATTGTGGTCAATTTCATGTTTTACAGCCACTGGTGAAATTTGCAGGGGAGAGCCTTACGAGAATGTGATATTCTTGCATGGATTTATAAGTTCTTCCTCATTTTGGACACAGACAGTGTTTCCATGTTTCTCTGAAAATGTAAATCATAACTACAGATTGATTGCCATAGACCTGTTGGGGTTCGGAAAGAGTCCTAAGCCAAGAGATTGTTTGTACACTTTGAAGGATCATGTGGAAATGATTGAGAAATCTGTGGTTCAACCATTGGAGTTAGGTAGTTTTCATCTGGTTGCACATTCTATGGGGAGTGTAATTGCATTGGCTTTGGCTGCAAAGTACCCTAATTCTGTAAAATCAATTACCCTTGTGGCACCTGTAAGTACCTTACACCTAAACTAGATATTACTTTCATGTTTTCAGAATTGGACTGCTATGAACCAAATTGATGTTTCTCTAATCTTTGTCCTTGTGGTTTTGGTGGCAGCCATACTCTTCTTTTGACGAAAATGATGCTGGTTTAAAAGCACTTGAAAAGTTTGTTGGAAAGAAATTGTGGCCAATGTTGTCAGCAGGTTCTTCATTCATGTCATGGTATGAGCATTTGAGTCGAACTGTTTGCCTTATCTATTGCAGAAATCACAGGATATGGGAGAGGATTCTAAAATTTGTTACCCAAAAGAGGTAATAACCACTTATGTAAAGACTAATGTAAAAGATGCCACATATATATAGTTACCTGCTAAGGTCTCGACGAAAACGCATAATATGACACACTGACACATTGACATTAGTAATAATTTGAGAAAATTGAATTATTGAGTTTAACTACATGTTTCAATGCTCTTTAAACACGTAGACGCTGAACACGTCTTCAATCTGAAGTGTCGATGTTATATAGTCTATAATGCATTTTCTTACTTTTTTTTTCCAGGGATCTAAGTTTTTTGATCACAGACATGACAAGACATACTCATCAATCTGCTTGGAATTCCATGCATAATGTGATATGTGGAGGAACAAAATTCATGGGCAGTTACTTGAAAATTTTAACAAAAAGTGGAGTTAGAATAAATGTTATACAAGGTGATAGAGATCAAGTTGTCCCAATGGAGTGCATCAGTGAGTTAAAGTTGAAGGCTCCAAATGTTGAAATTAACATAATTCCGAATGCTGATCATAGCTCTGTCCTATTAGGCAGAGAGAAGAAATTCGCACAAAGTTTGGAGCATACGTGGACCTCTTCTTGTTGAAAGAAGTAAGTTCAATTGGTCAAAGATGAGAATCTCTTTTTGGGTAACTAGGATACATGAAACTTTTGCTTTTCTTGAATTAAAAGACATGTTGATTGAGAAATGAAATAAAACAAGAAAGACTATACCATAATGTTTGCAATATCATGCTAGAATATACAATGTTTCAGTGGAATGAAGTGAAGTATAATGTATAATGCCTTCTTTAAGCAGCACACATACAAATACTTCTCCAAGTGTAACTTGAGTTGTTTCCAATATTTGGTTCCATGAACACCCTTGCAGATAGTACTTTTGCTTTGAACATTTTGAAAACAATTGGTTAGCTTGTAAGAACTCCCAGAACTTGCTTTGATAACAGTTAAATTGAAGCATAAATGTACGTTTTGTTTTTTCTGTTTTCTTCCATGCTCGTATTGCATCACTCCTAGTTTCACATTGACTAGTTGACTCATTGCTTTATATTTTCGATCTTCATTTAATTTTAAGATTCAAAATTTATTTTTATTTAAATCTTATTATTATTTTCATAGTTTTCTCTTGTATTTGTTATATTCTTTATGGCTAATTTTAACGTGTGTTTTTCTTTCTCGTTAAGTCAACTCAGTTAGTAATTGTAGATCGACATCCGACTGCAGGGGTGCAGGTTCAATCACGCGACTCCCCACTTATTCACCTTTTAGAGGGTGAATTTTCAGCCATTAGGCTACTAGGCAAAAGACCACAGATTGTTTAAAAATCACAAACAAATCACCATAAATATTTTGTCCTCCAATATCTCCTTGATTTTTGCCTTGATGTGAATGAATTCTTTCAAAAATATGGTAAAGATATGAAAGAAGATATGGTGGACTTTGTTGGGGCATGCTTTCGGTTGTGTATTATTTTTTCCTCATGATTGGTTTTGAAGACTTTAAAATTCTATCAAGGAATGTCAAGGGCTATGCAACTCGCAAGAGCCACTTCCACACGTGCAAAATTCTAAAGCTTTTCAAGCATGATGTGGTTGGTTGTGTGAAACCCAAACAAAATTTGATCCTCTAAGAGATTTTGGGAGAAAGAAGTTTATAGGTTGTTGATGTAATGGAGGTAGAAGGACACTCAAGTGGTATAAGGGTCTTAATTAATGGCTTTGGATCATTTTTTTTCCGGTGATCGAGAGTGTAGATCAATGTATTACGTGAATCAGGGTAACATGTCAAAAGTTTGATCATGAGTTTATGTCAGACTCACACTTTCATTAAGAGAAGACATGCATGACTATATTTGGGACCTTTGTATTGTTCAACCTTGAATAATTTGGGAGATTTCAATAACATGGCATCACTTTGTCGTCTGGTTAATGGTGTACGGAAAATGATACTTTGTGTTTTGAGGCTTTAAAATATTTTAAAAGTTTGGTTTGTACTAAGGATTGTCTATTTGTTCCTCCAATAACCTTTAGTACTTCCTCTTTGTCTGTGGACTAGAAGAATACTCTCTTAGCAATAGTTATAAGGAAATTTCTTTCTCCATTCTTACACTTTCTTAGTTATTTTTGACGAAATTCAGTTTTTATCTTTAGAATTCGAAGATGTATCTCCAAACGCACTAGAGTTTATTTTTCTGCGGTGATTTCAGAGATGTATTATCGAAGTTACGAAATTTCATTTTTTTAGGTGAATTCAGAGATGTATTTTCGAAGATACCCAATGCTATAATTCAGATGTACATTTTCGAAATAAATACTGATTCATCAAAATCAAAATTTTGAAACAGAAAATTATGTAGATATAACATAGATATTGAAACATTGATATTACGTATATATTACATAGACAATAACATAAATTTAACATTGAAAGTCGAAATTACATAGATATTGAAACATAAATTTAACATTACGTGTTGTTATAAACGAGTATCTGAGGATGTCGCAACATTTTAATAACATCTTCACTGAATCTCTGAATCTTTGCATCCAATTCAATCAGACCCTTGGTAGAATATCGATGAAAAGTACTTCATATAACCTTTAAATCGTCATCAGTCTTCAGTGGAAACTCGGTGAACTTTACCTTTTCTTCAGTGTCAAGTGATGGTGAACGATACTCGAGTTTGACTATCTTCCAATTTTCTGGATATTGCAAGAGAGAGTTGAGTATGGTAATGAGCTCGACTAGAGACGTGTCTTCGCAGAACCTAAATTGAAGTGACGGCTTCACACCGTTGAAGTAAATAAAAGCAATGTGAAGATATGTTTGTGTCATATCTGACTTGTGATGTGTGATTATGTTTACCGGAAATGATAGAAAACTGCCATGTATCATCCACCCTACATGATCCGCACAATTTGAACGGACACTCACATTTTCTTAATTCGGTGTCATCATGTTTTAACTTTCGAATTTTTGGAACAAATTTTTCACTTCACTTGCATCTCATGGTTACAAATGCTTTCCTTCTACTAGTGTCATTGTTGGACCTTCCAATCACAACCCCAAACCTGAGTTTGCTAGCTTTTATTCAGACTCATTCAAGCAAACGTTGTTGATCATTGAAAATGTCGTCATTTAAAAATTGGTGTCCAACATCTATGTCGACAACAATCCCTTTAACATCGTTCTTCATCTCATCCGGCTTAGCATCATTATTGACATTGTCCGAAACATCCTTGAGAAATATGTCGGGATACACCATATCTACAACGGGAAAAAACATGAAAATTGTTAATAATTATGTTTCTGTAACGGGCAATTTCGGAAATATATTTCCGAAATAGGTTAGGTGGGTTTCAAAAATACATTTATGAAGTTACACAAATTTTCATCTCAAAAATCAGCATTAATGCAAAAAAGTGAGAGATGAATGAGGAAAGTTTACTTTAAATTTCAGCTTTCTATGCTCTCTTTGACATGATAAAACACTTGAAACTTGATTTGGAGACGAAAAATTGATTGACAATGGATTAAATTTTTTATAAGGTTTTGGTTATGAAATGAAATGAAGATAATGAAATAGCTCATGCAGCAAGGTGGTAAAAGTTGCATATTTTCGGAAGCACGTCTCCGAAAATATACCTGAATATTTATATTTAACGTTAGTTAGAAACAAGATATTTTCGGAAGTGCATTTCTGAATTAATCCCAAAATTTGATTTTGAGTACTTTCGAAGATGTATCTCCTAAACACCTTGAATTGGAAAGCGTTCCTCCGAAGGGTATTTTCGGATTTTTCGGGATTTTTTCTCCCCCCTAAGAGGTGCAAAAAGAAATTCCGTAATTACAATGCAGAAAATCTATAGGGATGACAATGGGTACCCATGGATACAAGTACTAGTCTCTCGCTACCTGTCTCATTTAGTAAATATGATACACGGTCTCATACCCGTGCAGGTATCCGTTAAATGAATATCTGTGGATTTTGAGATACCCGCGAGTATTTACGAATATCTATGGATACTATTATTTAAATATATTTTTAAAAAATTTAAATAATTAATTATTTGTATCTCTTTTAAAGACAAAAAAAATTATTTTCAAATTTAACACATGATAAATAATAACAAAAATAAATCATTTATTTTATTTCTTCTTTTATTATTATAATAATAATAATAATAATAATAATAATTATTATTATTATTATTATAATAATAATAGTAATAGTAAAAATAAAATTAATATTTAAGTATTTTAGCTAATAACGAATACAGATACCTGCGGATACGAATATCATCAAATCTATATATGTACCCGTAAATAAATGAGTAATTAAATATGCGTTTATTTTATCCGTGAATATTCATTAAATTATCATACCCGTATCCGTGATAAAAATTATCTGCGGATATTTACGGGTACGATTTTTTTGTCATCCCTAATTCCAATTCATTTTCATTAAAATGTTATATGAAGATATCATGTATGATATTTAGATTTTTGTGAGGTCTACTTTTGACATAGATAACATGGATCTTTAATAGATAAGTCTTTTACAATCTTAATTCTAAAATTTGATAGGCCACACACTTTCTACGAATTCCAACTGGTTAGCTTGTGTAAGGTGACTTGTAAGATGGTCTTAACAAATTTGGTGAATTGCCTTAGTTTAATTCTTAGTAAGATTTTGAGTCGATCCTTTGCAAAGAAGCTTCATTCTAGGTATAGGTACAGTTGATAATGTTATTATTCTCCAAGAATTAGTTTACCATATGTGTAATTTTAGGAAGAAACACAACAATGTTATTTATAAGTTTGATCTTGAAAAGGTTTATGATAGAGTGAATTGAGAACTATCACTAATATCCTCCGTTACTTTAGATTTCTTTTTAGAATCATTTCTTTAATTAAGAACACTATTTCCACTACTTATGTCTCTTTGATCTAGAATAGGAGTAGCATTGAACGCTTTCAACCTCTATGTAGCCTCTAATAAGGAGATATTTTATCTCTCTGTCTTTTTGTTATTTGCATGGAAAGGTTTGATGATTTTATTCATAAAGAAGTTAACGAGCGTAGTTAGAAACCTCTACATATCACTCACGATGGTCCCAAAATATCTCACATATTCTTTGAGGATTATGTACTCTTATTTACAAAGGAGAAAATTTCTCAAGCACAATCCATTACTAACTTTTTGGATAATTTATGTTTTTTTTAGGTCTTAAAGTAAGTCTAGATAAGTCAAGAGTGTATGTCTCTAAAGATGTTTTTTATGTTTTAAAGATAATTTTGAGCACCAATTAGTATCAAATTTACTAATCGGCTAGAAAAATACCAGGGATTCAAAATGAAATAAAATCACACTAGGAATATGAATTTATTGAACATTTATGATATGTTAGATTCAAAGTTTTCTTATTGGAAATGTGGATTCTTAAAAATTCATGGCGTGATACTTTTGCCAAGGTCATTCTTACTTCTTTACCTACATTTCATTTGCAAATTTGTCTATTTCCTCAATATGTTTATGAGATCTTAGATAAAACTCTGAGGAATTTTATTTTTCATGGTACACCAAATCCATCCATGCATATGGTTGGTTGGAAGAATACCATTAAGCCTAAGTTAAGTTGTATAAAAATCCTCCTGACTCGTTTGCAAAATAGTGATTTGTTAGGCAAACATAGAACTTAGTGCAATTTGACCAAGAAACTTTGAGTCTCAATTTTGAAAGATAAATATTTATCTAAAGGTGATATTTTACTTCATTAAAAAGGTTAGCTCACCTACCAGGAAAGTTATTCTCAAGGTTCTCTATGTGTTAAAAGATGGTTTCATTATTAATATAGGAGATGGAGACACCATTTTTTGGTTTTAGTCATGATTCTGAAAACATTTTTTTTTTAAAATATCCAAGATATCTCGCCTGAGTATATGGGATTGAAAATCAAGGGCCTATGATTTTATGGTAAATATATCATTGCAGACTTAAATTTTGGATGTCCATATAAGTTACTTCTTAAATTCAGAGATTGCAATCAACTTTCATTGCT